ATTTGTTCTCCCAGCATCTGTATCAGGTGGCTCAAAATGTCTGGTAAATCCAGCTTCAAGGAAACAGATTCCTTCTTATGGCCTTCTCTCTCTCGCTCTCTCTCTCCCTCTCTCTCTCTCTCTCTCTCTCTCTCTCTCTCTCTCTCTCTCTCTCTCTCTCTCTCTCTCTGCACCTCTCTCTTTCTCTCTCTCTCAAATATGTATTTAAATTCTTAAAAATGAATAACCTGCATTTAATCTATATTAGTATATTAGTGAGACTTCTCCAATATTCAAATGATAAATAAGCATAGAGCTTCAGGGATGGAGGGACGGCTCAGTGGTAGAGAGCCCTATGTTCAGTAGGGCTCATGGCATCTGAAAACTGTTTTTACCTCCAGTTCCAGATAACCCAACGCCCACTTCTGATATTTGTGAACTCATGCATGAATGTGATACACATGCACACACTAAATCACATTCACAAGCACACACACACACACACACACACACACACAATCAAATAAATAATTTTTTTTACAAATATGGAAAAGATAATAGAGTTTCAAATTAAAAGTATTTTTTCACCCTGTTATTCCACCAAATGTGTTGAGGAATCTGGTGGATTCTTTCCATGGCATTTAAACATACCAACATATGCATGTAAATGTGTTGCCTTGGGGTTGTGATGATTTTACAAAAATGGGTTCCTGTGACACAGGTTATTATTTTTTCACTTACACTCCTTGAAAATATTTTAAGTCATGTAGTACCAATAAAATGGTCATATTTTCCATAAATACACATTTTTATTACGCAGATGGCCACGACTTTGACGTAATACAGCATAAAAGTTACACAGGTGTTCCTGGCATGGGCAGTTTAGCTTAGGGCTCAGGAGCTTTGGAAGGTCTTGAATTGGAGTCTAGATAGCACTACATATAACACATTGTAAGTATTGTAATCTCAAAAAGGAATAGACAAATCACTAAGAAATGTTCACATTTTTTCACTTTAACTATTATGAATTGAATGTACATTTTCCCTTTGTTACATGTGAAAAGACCCAAGTGCAGCATTCTGTAGGCTCCTAAAGTATGGCATGCTATTAGTGGCTACTTTTGAGATAAGAGTTATTTTGTAATGAGTTATTCAAGGATGCAACTACACTAGGAATTTGATGTTCTACATAAGGAATTAAAGCTGGAGACTGAAAGATATGAGGCAGCTTTTCAAACCATCAGAGAGAAATGTCCTAAGAGAGGGAACAGCCATGGCATATGTGCCTGGACCAGGAGAAATCATGGAAGCAGACAGGAAGCCAGTGTGAGTGACACATATATGCTATAATTCAGGCTGTGGATATAGTTCAGTTTTAGAGGGCTTTCCCGGTGTATATGAAAGCCTGGCCGGATCCTCAGCACAGAAGAAACACGGGAGGCAACACACACCTGTGATCTAGCAGCAGTGGAGGAAGAGAGTTCAGTTCACCTGATGGTGACCACATGGGAATTTCAGTCCAGTGTGCATTACATAGTAAGACCCTGTTTCAAAACAAAACAAGAAACACAAAAACACCCAACTTAAAACAGAAGTGATCATCCTAACTCAACTTATTGAAGCCTGGTGTGATTAAATCCATGTGACCCATCTATCTCTCCCCAAATTGGTATAGGGACAGCAGATTCCATCCACACAGATGGTTATGGAACAGAAGTTTTAGCCTCAGACATATCTGTGACATTGTCCTCAGTGTCTTGAGAAGACCATTAATGAATGGTTGGTAGTTTATTATAATTTATTTGGTTTTTAGGAGTGAGAGCACCCTACAAATACATAATTGCTTCTAGAAACACTTGTTTGAACAACATAGTTGTCAGAAGGGGAAGTAGTTGTAAACAGTGGGCTAAATATGTTCTTTTATCTCTTCTATTCTGAGCATGGGCTTCTAGGAAACATTTATTAGAAAGATGTAAGTAGAATGCCATCCAGGGTTATAATATGAGCCAGGTGTCCCTTCTGCCCTTGCTCCTGGGACTCTAGTTGCCACAGTCTATTCTTCTTTCTGGAGTGCAGTTTATTCACCTGTAAAGTGAGAGGGTTGGTCCCTTCACTCTGCAGCCATCTCAAAAGCAGCATGGTCCTCAGGCCTAGAGTCACACCTCAAGTGAAGATCTTTGCTGCACTTGGGAAACAGCCCAGAGCACATTAGCAATGTTCCCACTCACTTATGTTCTCCTATAGTCTGTTTGTATCAGTGAGTAGATGCTATCTTGTAGGTGGATTGGAGAACTGGAGAGACTCAGATTTCACACAGAACAGGTGAAAGTGTGGCCCAGAGATAAGGATGGATTTATAAGAGAGACTCTTCTATCTGTAAATAGCTCTGGAAACATCCATCAACAGCAGAAGGCAAGAAGGAGAAACTGGAACAAGAAGTTTCCACTCTCTTAGTAACAGGTAAGCCGGGTCTTCTACAGACTCATATGAGAGAGAAGCAGAGGATCGTGCTCTGTGGAGTTTCTGTACCATGCAAAATTGCATATGGGATGATGTGGGGTTGTACGTGGCACATTAGGACAATGGGGAGTGAGTCTCTAGACATTAGGGCAACTTAGCATCCAATAGAATTCTCTGGATTCTTGGAAGGTGGATCTTCATTTAAATGGAATGATGGACTTCATAGATGAGCTATTCAAGCCTTCTTAAGCAAAGTTAACATGAGAAATAAGATAAAAACTGTAGAAAATAATTTGTTACTCTTGAATTAAGCACCAATGATTTAGGACAGTAACTATAAAAACATGCAATATTATGTAATAACAATGAAATAAGACCAGGGAGATGAGGGCATAGATATAGTGCTGTGATGTTCATTCATTGACATTTTTTGGTAGTAAATAAGGAAATTTTATATGAAATGAATTCCATGCAGTGTAAAGAGCCTCAATAGGCTGTCGACATTTGAGGTTTTGCGTTAGTGGTGATGTAGCCAAGGGCAGAAGTAACTAAATTATGCTTTAGTTGGAGTGTTGGAGATGGGAAGGGAGCGGTCAGTCTGGGAAGATGAGCAGCTTTTAGCAAATCCATTGAAGCTGGACAGTCCAAGTTAAGGTTGCACCATACTTGTCCAAACCTGCCATAAGAGCTCCCTTACCTTCCTTTATGCTTTCTTTGTTGTTTTTCCCTTATGTTTATGTGTTCTTCCACCCAGGTTAAGGATGTAGTCTACATTTTCTAAACAAACCTTTATTTCATAGACAGAAGCAAGCTACATGATAGAGTATAGATTCATAGAATCATGTGTATTCTCTTCAAGACAGTAACCAAATATATGAAATGAGTAAAAATGTATTATTATATTAGTACTTTGTATAGTAAAATGGATTGTATATAATTTTATGAATATATGATTTTAAGGATATTATAAGATTATATTTGCTGTTTTAATTTTGAATATCTTTGTGTATCTGTGTGTAGTGATGTTGTTTTGGAGCAATGGTAACCGAGGAATGTTTGGGTATTCTGAATCTCCAGGGATAGTGGTTGTGAGCCTCCCTACATGGGTGCTAGGAACCTCTCTGAGGTTTTCTGTAAGAGCAGTGGACACTCTTAACCATGAGCCATTGCAGCAGCCCAATATTAATGTTTTAATGAGAGTATTATATGTTCATACTTCCTTAGCCCCAATCTACTAGTGGAATTAAATGAAAAACCTCAAAATCCTTGTCTTTGAACTGTATGGGACAATGTGCTTAGACACGACACCTCCATTCTTCTCAGTCCATCTTGCTAATAATGAACTTGATCTAGGCTTAGTGATCAATCACTGTGGCTCCTGAACAGAAATGGCCACTAGTTCACCAGAGGGCAAGTACACTGCCATTAGAAGGTTGGTCCTTGCTTAGGGTTTCACCAAGGAAACACACTCTTATCTCTGCCTTCAAGTTTTTTCTGTTTGCTGTCTTACTTGTGCCAAGACCAGGAGTGAGATTGATGACTATTATGTGGGGAAGGACCAGGAAGAAGAGGCTGTTTGGGAAGAGAGGAGGTCCTAGCAGAGAGGCCTATATGATCATACATTCAGGATGAGTCTGTCTCAGATACAGTATGGTGAGTGACTGCCAACCAGAGTGCCTTGTCGTTGTCCTTTCAGGTCAACACCATGAGGCATACTCAAGTCCTCATATCAGTCCTGTTACTCCTTCTCCCAGGTAAGTGAGAGGTGATCTGGGGAGGGCGAGGAGGATGGAGCTTCAGAAGAAAAATAGGTTCTCTGGAGTGTATTGCAGCACGGAGCCAGGATGAAATTGTAGATCTAAAGAAATTTCTTAACATATCTGAATTAAAAAAATAATACCCACAAGACTGTCAGGTAAGTGGTGAATATATGTACATGCATGTTACATCCAAGTAAGGGTGGGTATAGTACATGCATGTTGTAGTTAATGCATGAGAGCTGAAGAAAGGACATGAAAGGGTAACCTAATCTTCCTTTGTCCTATCTGCTCTTAAAATCCCTCATCTGCAATTACTTAATTAAAAATGGTAACTGAAAACACTCTGTGATACAGGAGAAAGTATTGAATTGCATATTAAATTTTTGAGACAGAGTACAAGATAGCATTGGCTATTCCTAGACATAATAGACAGCTAAGTGTAATCTCAAACTTCTGATCCTCCTGTCCCTATCTCCCAAGAACTGAAATTATAGGTGTGAGCCCATTCATCTGGTACATATTCTGACTTTACAATCTAACCTCTGGGAAGTAGAATTGTGGAAGGTTGTTAAGTCCTACTAGACATTTCTATAATTTTATTATAATGTGTATTATGTTTGCGATCCTAAAAAAAATATTAGGTAAAATGAAGTGACGAGTGTCCCTTTACACACCCCTTACACATTCATTTTACAGAACTAGGAGCATGCTGTCTCAGACCATGTCCTACACTCATGGCCTAGTCCTGAAGACAGGTGACAGATTAGTGAATCTTGCAATTCACTGTTTTATGCTGTTTGCTTATCTGTTTGTTCCTGGGCTGGCACGGGCGAGGTGAGCATTGTACCCTTGAACTTCATCTTCAGTCCTGAGATCTCCCTTAAATGGGAGCAATTGAAAATAGGGATTTTAGTCCACCATCTCAACAGACACATATCCCAATTTTATTTTAGGTTTAAAAGCTGAATGGTTTATTTCTTGATTTAATATTATGATTTTTTGTGGCTGCACTTTATAAGTAAGTGTTGTTCAGTTTCTGGAATGTTACCAACCTATAAGCAGGGATCCTTGCTCAGGTATTTCTTTTGTTTTGTTTTTAGGACTGATCCTAAAGCCTTAGTCCTCCTGATGGTATTACAATATCCATTGTGAGCGTGCCCTTGTGGTGCACTGCTTTAATCCCAGCACTGGGGAGGTAGAGGCAGGTGGATCTCCATGAATTCAGGCAGCCAGTTCTCCATACAAAGGTCTAAATACTGAAGATAAGCAAGGGTTACATAGCAAGACCTTGGCTCAAAAAACCAACGAAAACCATATAAGCAAACAAAAGGAATTCTGAAAATTGATGTTGAAGTCAGTATAGTTCTGTCTTTAAACCAATGACGCTGCAAATAAGACCTGGGCTTTGTATAAGAGAGGTGGGTAAAGTGAGTGGTATCATTTTCAGTAGCATTGAGCGGAGTTAAGGTCAGTTTGAGGCAGAGTCTCATAAGCCTGTTAATTCACTAGTTTCCTGACTTCACCTTTAAGTTCCACCTTTGCAAGCACCCATTGTCATGCAGAGCTTCTGGGAGAGCAGCTTTCACCTTTTAAGACTTAGAGCTAATGTCTGCAGTACACACTTGAAGTCTCATTTCTCAGGATTCTGAGGCAGGAGGATAGTAAATATGAGCCAGCCTGGGCTACAGAGCAAGATCCTGTCTGATAACAAGCCAACAAATCAGACATGGTAGTGCATGCCTTTAAGCCAGGCAGTCAAAGGCAGAGTTAAGGGTGGATATCGCAGGGTCTTAGGCTAGCCTAGTCTACATAGAGAGTTCTAGGCCTGTGATAACTACCTAGTGATCTCTGTTTCAAAAAGAAAAAGGAATGGAGCTGATTAATACAAAAGTATTAAAAAGCTACTGTGTGAATACAGTGTAGTAAGTTGCTTTATTTACACACATAACCATTACATAATCATTCTGAAGAAAAAGCTAACAGAAAATTGCTGGTAGTAAAAATATTAAGCTATGAAAACTCTACAAAGAAAAATGCAATGAAGGGCTGGAGCACAATGATGGAATGCATATCTGCCACGCCCTATGCCTCAGGTTCAGGTCTCAGTTGAGCCAAAAGGAAAAAAGGGAAAGAAATGAAGAAGTAAAATCAATTGTAAGCAAATGACAAGTGATCATTCTCCAATCCCACTTTCTCTTTTTATATCACAGCTGCTGTGTCTTCCTTCCCAGAAGTGCATGGAGTGGTGGGTCACCCTGTGACACTGCCATGTACTTATCCAGTGTCTAATGGGATCTCCTACATGTGTTGAGGCCGAGGAGAATGTGGGGATACATGTGGACAAACACTTATCTGGACTGATGGCTACAGGATCTACTATCAGAAAAGCAATCGCTACCAGCTGAAGAGACAGCTTCTTGAAGGAAATGTGTCCTTGACCATACAGAATGCCACTGAGAGCGACAGTGGTCTCTACTGCTGTTGAGTGGAAATGAAGAGCCCGAATGGTGTACAGAAACTGACCATCTCACTACAAGTTCAGCCAGGTAAGCCGGCCTTGTTACTTTCCAAGTGAATCGAGTCCTCTTTTTTTTTTGTTCTTTTCCTAGAACAAGGAAATTAAGGTTCTTATAAACATGCTTGTGATTAAACACTTGCTTTATTTATTTATTTATTATTTATTTATTCATTTACTTTTGGTTTTTTCAAGACAGGGTTTCTCTGTATTGTTTTGGAGCCCATCCTGGAACTTGCTCTGTATACCAGGCTGGTCTCGAACTCACAGAGATCTGCCTGTCTCTGCCTCTGGAGTGCTAGGATTAAAGGTGTGTGACACCAACACCCAGCTGCTTTTTATTATAGTTTTAATGACATTGCCCCGTGTATCTTAGGTTGTCATCATCTCCTTTGAACTTTACCATTTACCTGAGAGAAAAATGCCCCAGAGCAATGACACCTGTCATTTATAAAGTGTGTCCTTAGGAACGTGGACTCTGTTCTCTTCTCCTTGTTGTCAGTACTGCTGCCTCCTATTGGTGAGCTGTTTCCACTGCCCTGCCCTGCCATATCCAAGTTGGACTGATGTGCTAGAGTGGATATATAGAAGGCTCTTCTTTCTTGTTACTAATCTGACCCTTGCTTTCATATTCAGGAGTTCCAACAAGATCTTCAAGGAGACTTATAATTACAAGTAGAGTCAAACCTATTAATAGACCCAGACCTACTCCAATGAGTCCTAGAACTACTCTAAGGAAACCCAAAATTACTATAAGGAGACCGTCAACAACCACAAAATCCATGACTACTTCAAGGAGACAGCAGCTACCATGAAACCTACAACTCCTTCAAGGAGACCCACAATATAGAGACAGAAGGATAAGAAGTTCAACCCTGGCCTCACCTACACTGTAAGTTCATTGCCAGCATGGGAGATGTAAGACAAATGGTCTAAAAACTCCAAGGGACACAAATCTAACAAACCATGGCACTTAAGAAAAGAACCACTAGTATTTAAACTTCACAAGTTATATGAAACAGGAATCTTCATGGTACTGTAACAGCAGTCGTAGAACATGTCCTATGTGTTAGAAATCATCTCAGGGCATAGTAGGTCCTAACACATCCCCTGATCCAGAAGGGATTACAATACATATCTTAGATCAGGGAACACAGAAATCATGTGAAGGCAGGCAGAGTGGCTGAGAATCCTTACTCTAGTTCCTTGGTCTGGGAAATACACATGAAACATACTGCCTTCTACCAAAAGTCTAAAGAAGACAGTGGAAGTGCCATCTTGAGAGAAATGTCAGAAAACACCATTAGCAAGAATAGGGGTGGAATAAGCCTTTTCCTACCATAAAAATCTATGTCCAGGACCCCTAATTTGATCCATGGATTTAAAGTGGCTTTGCACTATGCTACAGGGGTAAAAGATTTTGCTCTACCAAAATTCCTTGGATTTTTGTGCTCATTTCTCAGGGAGACCCATTCCCATTCCTAATGCTGAAGTCTTGATAAAGTTACTCACTTATGGTCAAAAGGATGCCCGTGAGAAGCAGCAGCACAACAGACACGGAGATTCCAATATAGAGGCCCATAGTTGAGATCTTCTGGGGATGTGGTGTGGGGACCACTTCCTAAGGAAACATCAATCATTGAAGAGACACCAAATGGGATGAGCAGAAAACACACCCAGCACCTACAAGGTGATTCACAGTGGTCTGAGCTCTATCCCCAGAGGATTAGACACTTTCTTCAGGCACTTATAAAAACTGCAAGCCTATGGTTCACAGACATACATGCAGCCAAAACACCCATACACACTAAATGATAATAATAAATATAATAAAGGTATTGTGCCTTTTAAAAATGACTTGCTGTTTTTTTCCAGGTTCACCGGTTCATTTGAATAGGCATTTTAATCTTGCTATGAGGAGTATTCCCAGCATGTGGACAGATATGTCAACAGTTGTCAAGGGAACTGGGGAGATGGCTGAGTGGATAAAAGGATTTCCCCAAGAGTGAGGGCCCGAGGTTGAATATAAGGACCCATGTGAAAAGCAAGATACAGCTGTGTGTATCTATAACCTCAACCTGTGGGGAGAAAAGACACAGAACAAAGGAATGGGTATTCCTTTGCACTAGAAATATTATTTCAGGTTAGCCAAGCATGGCGGTACCTGCTGTTAGTCTCAACCCTTGGTGGGTAGAGACAAGTGGATCTCTGTAAGTTCAAGACCAGCCTGGTCTATTTAGTGAGTTCCAGGTAGTCAGAGCTACATACAAAGACTCTGTCTCTGTGGCTGGGGGGGGCACTGTAGGAGGTTGAGGGAGGTGATGGGCACACTTGTTGGCACCCTGGGTTAGGATTCTGCATAAATCACATGTTATCCAAGTCCTTTCATTCTTTCATTTCTTTTAATCTCTGCTCCCCCTCTGTCCAAGGGGTGGCCACTGAGACCTCTAGATTTCCTGTCACATAAAGTGCCCTCCTGCCTCTATAACAATCTTGAATATTCACAGATTGGCCAAATAAACAATGAAAGATATCTCTACTGCTATCATAATTTTATTTTTAAAAAGTAGTCACTTAGTCCATGTCCTGCATAAAATTTTTGCGGGGATTAGATTTTAATCAGGGATGTGTGTGTGTGGATGTGTATTTGAGTGTGTGTATATGTGTGTGTATGTTCATGTGAGTGTGTGATTGTGTGTGTATGTGTATGTGAATGTGTATGCAAGTGTGTGTGTGTGTGTGTGTGTGTGTGTGTGTGTGTGGTCACGTGCCATGCATGGCATATGGAGGTAAGAGAGAAACTTGGAGGCACTTGCTCTTTCCTTGCACTGTATGAGAGGAGGGAACTGGACTAAGGTCTCAGGGAAGTGCCATTATACATGGGGTCATTTTGCTGGCCCTTGCTTAAAATTTAATTTTAAAAAACCTTTAACAAGAAATGATTCTATTTTAGTTAGATATTAAGTAAACTTGGTGTAATGGATTATTGTCTTTGTTGTTTTCAGATGTATTCTGGGCTGGCACTGTTGCTTATATTCAGGGCTAAGGGATTGATGAGGTGAAATCAGGGCTCTTTCTAGTTGGTTGCAAACCATCAGCTTCCTCAGATGTCAGCCTCATAAGGAGGAGCTAAATTCTTCCTAGGGTCAAGGTTGGAAGCTGTCCCTGAAGACAAACAGGACAGAAGAAGCTGACCTCAGAGCACATCGATCAGGGAGGTTAATCTCATCTTATTTCTGGATAGAGCTCTGCTCTTAAACTCTGTGAAGCTCTTTTCATCTTTCAGTAACGGGAGAGAAAAATAGGTTAAGTTCCATCTCACAAGCTACATCTTGTGGGAATTCAATAAGAAAATGAGTCCACAATAGTTAGTCCAGTGTCTGGTCACAGAGTTCTCAGGGTACTTTGTGCCTGTCACCAATACTGTCAGTAGGCCAGAGGCAGACTGAGAAAATGGTTCATTGCTGCAACAAAAGTAAACTGGGCCCTTCTGACCAGTTCTGAACTCAGTAACACTGCACAGACACACTGATTGAAAAAGTAAAAGTTCTCCTTAATTTATAAATATACCCATGCTTATTAGGAAAGCCAACAACACAACCTATGTTACTTCTCATGCACCTCTCTGTAACACTGCACCATGCCTGGGATTCCAGAACTGTGGTTTCTCCTCACAGCACTCAGCACACCTGGCTATTTGTCTTTGTTTGAACAAATAAGTTAGAGTCTGAAGGTGTAGCTCAGTGGGTAAAGTGGCTTTTGTAGCATGCAGGAAGCTCCCAGGGCCACATACACTTATAATCGAAACACTCTCTGGTGGTAGAAACAGGAAGATCAGAAGTTCAAGGTCATCTTCAGCTACACAGTGAGTTCCAGGCCAGGGTGGGCTACAGGAGACCCTGTCTCAGGAAAAAACAAAGTCAGTTTGATTGTACTTGGAGAGCATCACCACATTCAAGACCTAAACACCCCCATCAACCAAAAGCCTCACACACTTTTGTAATAGTGACTTATTCTCACTTCTCAGAGAACAAGGCCTCGTGCTCTGAAATTGAATGTTTGAGAGCTGCGTTTCTCACACAGAAACACAAAAGGGGAGAGCACACTGGGAGGTGACTGTTGAAGTCTGTTCTGAAAGAAGAGAATGTGTCACCTCTGTCAAGGCCTAGCATAGACAAGACAGGAACAGAGACAACCCTCCTCCCCCCAGTAAGATGTGTATGGGTGTCAAAACTTGGACTAGTTTAACTAGAACAAGATAGTGGCCCCCAATAAAGTCTGAGAGGAAGCTGAGGCTGGGTCCTAACTTCAGGCAGGCTGCCCTGCCCAGAGTGCTCTTGTGACTTCTTTCCCAGAAAGAAGCAGCTGGAACAGTGTGGAATGTCAGACTTCATGGTCCTTACCTGCACTTCCAAGATCATGAGGTTGATGTACATGTAGCAGGAATTTACTGTCAGAGGAAGGTCATTGATGTCATTGTTAAATGAAATGATGACAACTGCAGAGAACTTAACAGAGGCCTGGAGTAGACAGGCCTTGAAGACCCCAGCCTCCGAATGGGAGCCTTCCTTCCACCACAGCTCAGTAAACACCAGGTCAAGAGATTTTGGCTAGGACCTAGTGGTCAACTTTAGCATGAGAAAATTGAGTAGTGGGGAGGCAGGAGGAGGCAGATCCTTGTGAGTTTGAAGCTAGCCTGGTCTATATAGAGAATAAGTTAGCCTGGACTAGATACAGAATTTAATATAGTAAGACCCTGTCTCGACAGACAGACAGACAGACAGACAGACAGACAGACAGACAGACAGGGA